CTACACATGCATACGACCACCGTCGCCGGCTGTCCAACACGCCGTGGTCGTGTTCCTAGCTAGGAGGGTTCCCGTTCATCAGTTGTTGTTGTTGTTGTTGTCCTTCTTTATCTGTTTTGGTAACACCCAGGGTCCAGGGACATCTATGGTCTTGTGTGTTGAAGACCTTGCCTAGTAGTATTAAATTTCGGTTTTCTGTAACTAAGTTCATGCATGTTAGCTAAAGGTAGTCTATTATATTGTAGTTTGAGTCGATTTTACATAGCTTTTGTTTAGTTTGGTACCGTTGATGAATTAGCATGCTAGGGTCTGCTCTTGGCAGATCATTTTTCGATTTCATACTAGCTTACACTCCACCTACACATGCGACCACCGCCACCGGTTGTCCAACGCACCGTGGTCTGTGATCCAGCTTATAAGTTGTTCTGTTCTTGTCCTTCTTTAGCTGTTTTGGTAAGACCCAGGGTCCAGGGACATCTGTGGATCTTGTGTGATATCACAACTGAAGGTCTTGTGTTTCTATCAAAACTGAAGGTCTTGCCTAGTAGTATTAAATTTCGTCTTTTTAACCAACTATACATGTCAGCTAAGGTAGTCTATTCTATTGTGGTTTGAATCGATCATCAATAACTTCAGTTTAGTTTGGTACGGTTGATTAATTAGCATGCATGCTAGGATCTGTTAAAACCACACTGATTTCGTACTAGCTTACACTCTAGTTAGAACCACAGATTGTTGACCAGTTGATTGATTAGGCTGACTACTTGACTGAAATGCTTGATTAAGCTGGCTACACTGCTGTTGTGCCCTTCAGCCCGTGATGAGTTGCGATGGTTAATAGTTAAAGTTAAGCTGATAAAACAGATGCTTAGTAAAAGTATATGTACGTTCAGGGAACTTGAACTGACAGGAAAGACGGGATATGAAAGACCCTACGCACACAAAAAGAAAAGTAAAGAAAAAGCTAGAGAGACATGGTGTGAATGAACGTAACTGAACGTGATTGATTTGATTGGGCATGAATATCACAGCATGAGGAAGCTAGTATTTTGTGGCTTTGTCCATAGACTTGTACGTTGCTTGTCCAATCACCTTTGAGGCTATGAGTTAGCTACTAGTGTAATCAATTATCACATATGTGCAAGCATTATCATATCGATAGGACAAATAATGCGATGGAAGGCTAGGATAGCAGGAAATCTTGCATGCATGTGTGGTTCTTGTGGACTTTTCATAAAAACAAATTGCTCCATGAGGCTTCTCCGCCTTGGCCCGTCAAAAAATGTGTGCAATGCACCCTTGTAACAACGAAATCCTCTAACCAATGCCTACTAACCACCTCTTAATTTTTGGTTCCTCAAGATTTAGTGTGTATGCTGATATTGTTTCCTTCATGTAATTTATATGATAAGAAATATATTTTATAATGATTACCCTAATGCGGTAAATACAATTTTCCACATATGTGATATGTCACTGTATTTACCCTAATACTTTCTTCAAATCCGGGTGACTGCTTCTCCTTGAAACTAAATTTATCAGCTGTCATGACCAATTTATGCAGATCTTAGACCAGAAGTACCACATATTAATTAACCCATATGATTTTGCAAGTATAGATTAACCCATATGATCTTTAACACATACTTTCTCATGCTTCAGATTCCACGATGTCTCAACCATCATCATCATCATTCCATGGAAGTGACGTGCGAGGAGACGATTTCACTCCCGCCATAGTAAGTATTATACAATATACACTGCTCCTAATCACTAGTTCTCTCTTGTATCATATTGTTTCTTCTATTATTGTTGGAACTAGAATTACAGTATAACTACTTTTCTATGTATTAAGTAACTAATTCAGTATGATGACTCATAGACTTACTCCCATTTCTCAGGATCGGAGAAGCATGCAAAGACTGGAGGGGCACGAACTCATAAAAGCATTGAACGTGAAGTATACCCCAGGGGCTCAGCCCTTGTTAGTCCTCTCACATGGCTTTGGTTGTGACAAGTCTGTTTGGCACAAGGTGATTTCTAACTTGAGAGATTCAGAAATTCATAGTGGTATTCTTACGTATGATCTTGCCTTTTCGGGAAAAGTTGGTAAGGATTATTACCACAAACATTCAGATAGATACCAAACAATCGATGGATATGTAGAGGACATTGTATCTATCCTCCAACACTACAGTATCCATACATGCATTTTTGTTGGCCATTCAACTTCTGGACTGGTAGGCCTACAAGCTTCCATTCGGCACAGAGACCTGTTTAGCCAACTCGTCCTTATCGGCACTGCCCCCTGGTAGGTAACCAATGCACATTTTGTTCCTGGCCATATAAATAGCATTCCATTGTGAATACTGCGTGCTGATCCTATTTTTATGCACACGATGCAGCGCTCTAGACAAATTCCCTGATTACATGATAGGGTATTCAAGGGAAAGGGCAGATGAGAGGCTTAAATTGATGGAAGTGGATTACAAGAAATTTGTGGAAACATATATTGAGATTGCACTTCCAGGGAACACCAAAGACAGCGCCAAGCTGAAACTAAACACATGTTGTCGAGGACGACCGGAGATGTTGTTAAATCAATGGCGACGATGGTATTCAACACAGACCTGTGCCCCATGCTGCCACTTGTGACATCTGCATGCACCATCATTAGCACAAGTGCCAATACTGTTGCATCAACATTTGCTCAAAACTATATGATGCAGCAGATGAAGAATGCTAGAATCACACTAGTAGAGGTCAAGACCAAGGGCCACCTACCACATCTTACCGCCGGAAAGATGGTTGCGAAGCACATCTCAGATGTCATTCATGAGTGGTAAGCCTTTCATCCCATTGTTTTTATATAAGAACATTAATAGCTACTCATACTTGCAAAAACACAATCCTTGCTTTTTCCAGTTTGGTATCCCTACATTGCTATTCATACATGCAAAAACACAATCCTTGCTTTTTCCTATATGGTCTGACAAAAACACTATATGCATGTGCTTCCTTCTCACATACAGGATAGCAAGAACTGAGCCATTAACTTCCATACCTCCTAGCCTATTGCCTTCGTATGATAGGCTGCGTGAAGAGATTAGGGTACTTAAAGAAGAAAACATGTTGCTGAAGAGAGAGAATGAAGCTCTGGAGAAGCCGGCGATTGATGAGACCACCAAACTGGCAACGGTGTCCCGGCCAGGTGGTGGAAGCCATGAAAGAACTGAGCCATTAACTTCCATACCTCCTAGCCTATTGCCTTCGTATGATAGGCTGCGTGAAGAGATTAGGGTACTTAAAGAAGAAAACATGTTGCTGAAGAGAGAGAACGAAGCTCTGAAGAAGCCAGCGATTGATGAGACCACCAAACTGGCAACGGTGTCCCGGCCAGGTGGTGGAAGCCATGAATCATCACCAGGCAGCGGAGGTTCTTGACCAAATAAGCGCATTGGAACTTGATGGTTCTTCCTCCTAGTATGATTTGTGTCCTGTTTGCGCATGTGTGTGTGCTCTGGCTGTGTGCGCGTGGGCGTGGTCTGGCTGTTAGCGCCTTGGTGTGCTTGTTGTGCATGTTTCTGCTCTTTTTCTTTGAATTATGTACTTTTCTAACTCGAGAGCTATGGATCTAAATCATCATAACTTAACGTTCATTCAGAAGTTGTTGCTGTGTTTCTGCTCTTTGGTGGCGCGTTCTGCCTGTGCCGCTGGTTCTGTTTTTCTGGCTTCGGAGCTATTGGTGTTACTGGTGTTAGCGTTGAACCTTTGCTTCAACAAAATAGCAGGGCCTGTAATGGCCTCTTCTCTAAAAACAGAAGGAGATGACTGCACTTGACCAGTACATGAACGTGCATGATGCGGTTAACAAGGTATGGCGTTTCAGGGGAAGGAGAGAAAAGTGTGGAGGACAACGACACCTGAGCTGATAAGGCGGTGGAAGTTTCAGCGAAATGAATCATTTACCTCACATCTTTGCTTGTAACTGACTTCACCATGAGGTCCATCTTGAGTTTAGATAGTCATTTACCTCTTTATTATTTCTAACTAACTTCACCGGGTAGTTGTTTAGCTTTTATATTTACTTTGGCATAGATTATTGATTGCAGTACACCTTTAACTTTTTATGCGGTATGCATAACCTACTTTCATGTAAAGAAGCAAGCTCATCTATATTTTATTCCTCTACCATTTATCGATGGTAAAAATAAAAAAAAATTGTCTCTTGTCATGGTTCTTTCTGAAGCTACTCAAGCTTATCATTTGCCTTCCAGTTAGTCTCCTTAAATCATGGCAAATCGCTGTTGATTTTATCTCCACGAAACAGTTCTACTATATGAGAACTAGTGTATAATAAATCCAATCTAACAAGTACATTACCTGGGTGAGCTTTGCCCCTCCACAATCAGTTGGTATGTTTGGGAGTGATATCAAAGCATTTAGTATATGTTCTGCATGAACACTTCAAACATTTTGATTTTCGAAGTGAATATAATTATTATTATTACATAAACTTTGAAAAAACATACCAATCCTTTCAATCTCTAGATAACTTGTGATTTATCATTTTCTAAGAAAAAGAAGATAGCAATACCAGTTCGAAAACAGGTCTTGGCGGTACTACTACGTCGTTCTGCTCTTCCATGATGCCAGGCATGCCCTTGCCAGTTGCCATACAACTCTTCATGGGGCCCTTGTTCTTCATAGGACAGCTCTATTAAGTACAAAGAGTTACACGCAATCAAATTAACCCTTTTTATAAAACCTTGTAACTCGTTTGTACGTGTAGCATTACTCCCTTCTCCCTCCTGCCCACACGAACACCACTAACGCCCAAACCATCACTGCCGTCGAAGGCCGCCGCGAGCAAGGCGAACCTCATCTCGGGCCAGGAGCAAGGCGAACTGAACTGATCCAGCGACCACAACCCCGAATTCGGAGCTTCTTCCCCGGCTCCGGCAACCGAGCCGGCAACCCCTTCGAGACTCGGTTATTCTTGTCTAGACAGGTATAGAGCTATTCCTTCTCACTATAGATTATAGACTCCCCTCGGCACTATTTGGTTTCCCTTCACTCAAATCCGAGGGTTAATCGGGGTACCTGCTACCTACACATGCATACGACCACCGTCGCCGGCTGTCCAACACGCCGTGGTCGTGTTCCTAGCTAGAAGGGTTCCCGTTCATCAGTTGTTGTTGTTGTTGTTGTCCTTCTTTATCTGTTTTGGTAACACCCAGGGTCCAGGGACATCTATGGTCTTGTGTGTTGAAGACCTTGCCTAGTAGTATTAAATTTCGGTTTTCTGTAACTAAGTTCATGCATGTTAGCTAAAGGTAGTCTATTATATTGTAGTTTGAGTCGATTTTACATAGCTTTTGTTTAGTTTGGTACCGTTGATGAATTAGCATGCTAGGGTCTGCTCTTGGCAGATCATTTTTCGATTTCATACTAGCTTACACTCCACCTACACATGCGACCACCGCCACCGGTTGTCCAACGCACCGTGGTCTGTGATCCAGCTTATAAGTTGTTCTGTTCTTGTCCTTCTTTAGCTGTTTTGGTAAGACCCAGGGTCCAGGGACATCTGTGGATCTTGTGTGATATCACAACTGAAGGTCTTGTGTTTCTATCAAAACTGAAGGTCTTGCCTAGTAGTATTAAATTTCGTCTTTTTAACCAACTATACATGTCAGCTAAGGTAGTCTATTCTATTGTGGTTTGAATCGATCATCAATAACTTCAGTTTAGTTTGGTACGGTTGATTAATTAGCATGCATGCTAGGATCTGTTAAAACCACACTGATTTCGTACTAGCTTACACTCTAGTTAGAACCACAGATTGTTGACCAGTTGATTGATTAGGCTGACTACTTGACTGAAATGCTTGATTAAGCTGGCTACACTGCTGTTGTGCTCTTCAGCCCGTGATGAGTTGCGATGGTTAATAGTTAAAGTTAAGCTGATAAAACAGATGCTTACTAAAAGTATATGTACGTCCAGGGAACTTGAACTGACAGGCAAGACGGGATATGAAAGACCCTACGCACACAAAAAGAAAAGTAAAGAAAAAGCTAGAGAGACATGGTGTGAATGAACGTAACTGAACGTGATTGATTTGATTGGGCATGAATATCACAGCATGAGGAAGCTAGTATTTTGTGGCTTTGTCCATAGACTTGTACGTTGCTTGTCCAATCACCTTTGAGGCTATGAGTTAGCTACTAGTGTAATCAATTATCACATATGTGCAAGCATTATCATATCGATAGGACAAATAATGCGATGGAAGGCTAGGATAGCAGGAAATCTTGCATGCATGTGTGGTTCTTGTGGACTTTTCATAAAAACAAATTGCTCCATGAGGCTTCTCCGCCTTGGCCCGTCAAAAAATGTGTGCAATGCACCCTTGTAACAATGAAATCCTCTAACCAATGCCTACTAACCACCTCTTAATTTTTGGTTCCTCAAGATTTAGTGTGTATGCTGATATTGTTTCCTTCATGTAATTTATATGATAAGAAATATATTTTATAATGATTACCCTAATGCGGTAAATACAATTTTCCACATATGTGATATGTCACTGTATTTACCCTAATACTTTCTTCAAATCCGGGTGACTGCTTCTCCTTGAAACTAAATTTATCAGCTGTCATGACCAATTTATGCAGATCTTAGACCAGAAGTACCACATATTAATTAACCCATATGATTTTGCAAGTATAGATTAACCCATATGATCTTTAACACATACTTTCTCATGCTTCAGATTCCACGATGTCTCAACCATCATCATCATCATTCCATGGAAGTGGCGTGCGAGGAGACGATTTCACTCCCGCCATAGTAAGTATTATACAATATACACTGCTCCTAATCACTAGTTCTCTCTTGTATCATATTGTTTCTTCTATTATTGTTGGAACTAGAATTACAGTATAACTACTTTTCTATGTATTAAGTAACTAATTCAGTATGATGACTCATAGACTTACTCCCATTTCTCAGGATCGGAGAAGCATGCAAAGACTGGAGGGGCACGAACTCATAAAAGCATTGAACGTGAAGTATACCCCAGGGGCTCAGCCCTTGTTAGTCCTCTCACATGGCTTTGGTTGTGACAAGTCTGTTTGGCACAAGGTGATTTCTAACTTGAGAGATTCAGAAATTCATAGTGGTATTCTTACGTATGATCTTGCCTTTTCGGGAAAAGTTGGTAAGGATTATTACCACAAATATTCAGATAGATACCAAACAATCGATGGATATGTAGAGGACATTGTATCTATCCTCCAACACTACAGTATCCATACATGCATTTTTGTTGGCCATTCAACTTCTGGACTGGTAGGCCTACAAGCTTCCATTCGGCACAGAGACCTGTTTAGCCAACTCGTCCTTATCGGCACTGCCCCCTGGTAGGTAACCAATGCACATTTTGTTCCTGGCCATATAAATAGCATTCCATTGTGAATACTGCGTGCTGATCCTATTTTTATGCACACGATGCAGCGCTCTAGACAAATTCCCTGATTACATGATAGGGTATTCAAGGGAAAGGGCAGATGAGAGGCTTAAATTGATGGAAGTGGATTACAAGAAATTTGTGGAAACATATATTGAGATTGCACTTCCAGGGAACACCAAAGACAGCGCCAAGCTGAAACTAAACACATGTTGTCGAGGACGACCGGAGATGTTGTTAAATCAATGGCGACGATGGTATTCAACACAGAC